AGAATCATTGAGATAGGAGGAAATCCAGTGGAATGTGGTATCTTGGAATCCAAAGGAGAAAAAAATGTTTTGAGGAGGAAGGAGTGATTATCTGTGTCTTTATTTTTTGATAGATTAAGATGAGAACTAAATGTTGACCATTGTATTTAGCTATATGGAGTCCTCTGGACCCTTGACAGGAACAGTTTCTATGGAATAATGGGGATAAAGAGCATAGCATTATTGGTGGGCTCAAGAGAAGACAGAGGGAGAAGAATTCAATATGGATGATGTAACGCATTCTCTACAGCAGAAAAAAACAGTGTAGAAATTAGAGTGTTAAGTGGAGTCCAGTTTTTGTTTTTACTGTTAAGAGAGGAGAAATAACCCATCTTGATGAAAAATTGATGATACCAGAGAAAGTCATAGTAAATTTTTGGAAATAAACTTGTTTGAGTTAAGAATGGTTGGAATCTAGAGCACAAATAGAATAGAAGCACAGATAATTCATTAGTAATTATCAAAAGTAGAATATATGGACACAGGTAAATGTAGCTGAATCAATGTGATTGGAGCTAGTAGGAATTACTTTTGGATTGTTTTAAGTTTTTAGTGAAATGAGTCATGGACATGGGCTGGTAATGATTGTGAAGGTGGAAATTTGAGAAATAAGATGAAAGTATGAATTGTCATATACTAGAGTAAAAGGGTGGATTAACTATGGAAAGACAGTATGGTTGGGGGGAGTAACATTAAGAGCCCTCTTTAGCTAAGTGATCATGAATTTAAAGTGTGATCAGTCTGTGTGGTTGCATCTCTCCACCCATGTTCAGCTGTGTGGGAAAGAATTGGAGTAGATTTAATCAGGGTTGTGTTTCAGCCAACTAAGTTCAATGCAGCAAGAGTGGGTAAGAATTGAGAGTATGTGAAAGGGAGTGATTTTCATAACTGACCATGCATGGGATGTATTATATTCAGTCTTGAAGATGTGGGCACAGAGATGCCTATAGGACATCCAGGTGACAGTTTCCAATAGCTGGTTGTAAATGTTAGCCTGGACCTTAATAGAAAGGTCAGAGCTGGAGAAAGGATTTGGGAAAGAAACATCAGATTATTGGAGCCTAAGGTGTGTACTCTACCATTAGAAGATTCAAAGAGGCTGAGCCCTGGTAAATACTAACATTTAAAAGTTCAGGTAGAAGATGAGAAGCCAGTCAAAACAGAACTCTAGGATTAGAGTAAAATATTTTCTCTACCTAAGACATTTGAAATTCCTAACAAAGTTTTCTTTCTGTTTGCTTCCTAGCCCATAACAATAAAACAAAATTATATGTATTTGTTCACTTAATGTTACTAGTCTATACACACACACACACACACACACACAGAGCCATATGGTATCAGACTCATAATTTTGACTTTATTAGACTTGAATTTTTCTTTATGTTGCTTAAGACAGCATTTCCAATTTAAACAGTTGCCTCAAAATACTTTCTGTGGTCACAAAAAGAATGGGGCTGGGTGCAGTGGCTCATGCCTAGTCTCAGCACCTTGGGAGGCTGAGGCGGGCAGATCGCTTGAGGTCAAGCGTTTGAGACCAGCCTGGCCAACATAGTGAAAACCCGTATCTACTGAAATAAAAAAATTAGCTAGGCGTGGTGGTGGGCGCCTGTAGTCCCAGCTACTCGGGAGGCTGAGGCAGGAGAATTGCTTGAACCTGGGAGGCACGGAGATTGCAGTGAGCTGGGATTGTGCCACTGAACTCCAGTCTGGGTGACAGAGCAAGACTCTGACTAATACATAAATAAAAAGAATGGCTAAAGAGAGTTTATTGATGAATGCCAGTCTGTTAACATTACCGAAGAGAAGAAGCAAGGACCTAACTTGCTTCTAATAATGAGTCGTCTCAGTTTTATATTTAAAAGATTATCATTTATTATCAGTGTATTTTAGATTAAATTAAGCCCCGTATCTGTTCTTCTTTCTGAAACATCTCTCTTTATAGGTTCTGTATCTTATTTTACACTTCAATTATTGAGTGACAATAACAGATTTTTACATGCCAAGCAAATTATGGTCGAGAATAGATTAGTATGATAGAAGGCTTAGGTTATGGGCTGTGTTTTAAAGAATGAAATATTTAGGGAAGATATTTCTAAATTACCATTTAAATTCAACTCTTGGGAAGACCGTTTGAGTCCAGGAGATTGAGGCTGCAGTGAGCCATGATTGTGCCACCGTACCCCAGCCTGGGCTTGTCAACAAAGCCCTGTCTCAAAAAATATATAAATACATAAATCCACCTTTAGAGTACAAAGAGTATACAATTATGTCATGTTTTAATGATGTGAAATGTTTTTAACAATCTGGAAATATTTAAAAGTTCTTTGAAAGCACAGTAGATTGAATCAGTCCAAATAGTAGTGATTCAAAATACTCTTTTTTCTTTTTGAAGCACTTCAAATGATATAATCATTTTAATAACTGCATTATTTGGGTTTATTGTACATTGAAACTTAAATAATATCTGGTAAGGGATGATCAATAAAATGAATATATCTATTAATATATATCTCATACTGTTTCTGTGACCCAGTTTAGAACCAAGTAATGGCATGTAGTGTAAAATCAGGATTTGTTGCCGGGCGCGGTGGCTCACGCCTGTAATCTCAGCACTTTGGGAGACTGAGGCGGGTGGATCACGAGGTCAGGAGATTGAGACCATCCTGGCTAACATGGTGAAACCCTGTCTCTACTAAAAATAGAAAAATTAGCTGAGCATGGTGGCGGGCGTCTGTGGTCCCAGCTACTCGGTAGGCTGAGGCAGGAGAATGGCGTGAACCTGGGAGGCAGAGGTTGCAGTGAGCCGAGATCACACCACTGCACTCCAGCCTGGGTGACAGAGCGAGACTCCGTCTCAAAAAATAAAAAATAAATAAAAATAAATCTATGCCTTGTAAAAATAACGTTTACAATTTTAATTCTGCAGATTTAATTGTCCTATAAGCTGTTATTAGAAAACAAATAATCTCAAGGGAAAATTCATTTTATTAATAAATTTGACTTAACTAGTATAAAGTGAAGTGATGCAAACTGTAGTATGTAACCTTGTTTGCTTCAGGTTTGTGGTTGTATAACTCCCCTCTTTACATTGTTGTTGTAAAGAAACAATGTAAGAAAACTGTTGGAAGCGTTTGTATGGATTTTTTTGTTTTCTGTTTTTTTAAAATGGGATCTCACTTTGTCAGCCGGGCTGGAGTGCATTGGCATGATCACAACTTACTGCAGCCTCAACCTCCCATTGCTCTGGTGATCCTTCCACCTCAGCCTCCTGAGTAGCTGGGACTATAGGCGCTTGCCACCACGCCTGCTAATTTTTGGATTTTTAGTAAAGACATTTGAAACAATAGAGCAGAGTAGTCTTTCTTTTTGGAGTCTGTCCTAATGGAACTACAATACATGAGGGATCTGAAACATTTTCCTGTAACCAATACTAAGTATTTCCATTTGATAACCTACTTAATTTTTAAAAAGCACAAATCCTGATGTATATATTTTAAAAGAACTTAAAGCTTTCTTCATAAAATATTTACAAACTACTCTTGATCAGAACAAAAATAAATTTATACTTTCAGTGTGCTTTACACGGATCAAAATTCACAAGATGCAAGATTTTTCATGCTTATTTAATATAGAAATTAGTCAAATTTCTATAAATAAATGCCATACAGGATCCATGATTATATTCCTACAAATTCTCTTTCTGATAAATAGAGGAGAAGTGTAGGGTGTTGGAAGGTCCCAAGCAATAGTCTTAAGTGGTAGAGAAAGCTAAATACTGCTTAAAAAATGGTATTAGCTGTTCCTCAAATTTATTTTTCTCTCATGTACAAGCTGGGTAGTCATATACTTTAAAATGTTCCTTGAAAAAAAGAAAATACTTGCAATAACTGTTAGAAAAACCTTTTTTTAAAAATGTAAAGTTAGTATATACTAAAGACTGGACAGTTTACCTTCAGGCCCGCTGATGGAATTATTTTACTTGAATAAAATTTTACTCTTAACAACTGCATCTTATATACAGCAATAAAGTATATTTTCATAGAGTATTAATTTTGCTTTCCTAAAACAGCATCTACTTCTATTGGAAAATTTCAAAATTTTCTCCCAAATCATACACATAAAGATGTACCTGAACAAAAATTATTTAATAATACCAGAAGATAACACTAGAGGATTACTTCCCTCTTAACAAATAACAGATTGTTACTGCGTTGTTAACTATGACCATAGTTGTTATATTTTTTGTTTGTTTACTTGTACTTTCTTTTCTTTTCTTTTTTTTTTTTTTTTTTTTGAGATGGAGTCTCACCCTCTCTCCAGACTGGAGTACAGTGGCATGATCTCGGTTCACTGCAACATCCGTCTCCCGGGTTCAAGTGATTACCCTGCCTCAGCCTCCCGAGTAGCTGGGACTACAGGTGCACACTACCATGCCCAGCTAATTTTTGTATTTTCAGTAGAGATGGGGTTTCACCATCTTGGCCAGGCTGGTCTTGAACTCCTGACCTCGTGATCCACCCACCTCAGCCTCCCAAAGTGCTGAGATTACAGGTGTGAGCCACCACACCCAGCCTGTACTTTCTTATTTTTTCCAGTTACTTCATTTTTTCATATGTATTGAAATATGTGTTGAAAACCTGGTATGTACTGTTCTCCTAGGTGAAGAGTGAAAAAAGTAGATAAATATCCGGTATCTTGGAGCTTTCCTCCTACTTGAGGGAGACACAATGAAGAATAACGTAATAAATAGTAAATGTAAGAAACAAATTATTAGAAGATGATAAGTGTTGTGGAAAATAAAATAGAGGTGGGAAATAGGGCTTGTGGTGCTGAGGGTTGGGGCACAGGTTTCAGTGTTCCACAGGAAAATTGGGGTAGGCCTTACTATTGATACAATAAAAATAATATAAGAGAAATTATGAAAATAGTTAACATGTTTACTGTTTTTCTTCTTATAGCTGGAATAGTCAAATGATTTCAGTTCGTGAAGCCAAAGCCATTCCGAGGCCTGATGGTATTGAATGGAGAAATAAATACATCTGTGTAGAAGGTAGTTTTCTGTTTACCATCCACGTATCATCATGGTACTAAGAGAATTACTTGAGTAATTTCAGCTGTGTTTTAGTTAAAAGTAATACATTTATGTCTGAAGTGATTTGTAAGTCTTTTAGTTTAAAAATTTTAATTAAAAAAAATCATTTAAAATTTTGTAGGTGTGAGAAATAATAAACATAAACTTTAGGCATTCACCCTTTCTAGTTGATAAAATTTAAGCTGTCTTTATCCCTCTTGTGGTTGATGGACAATTTCATGACTTACAGATGGAAGAAAATAGAATCTTTATATATGATTCTTATATTGACATACAATGAGTTATTTTATATTCTTTTGCACTTAAAATATTACTTAGTACAAGTTGGACTTTTATAAATAGAAATTGATTTTGCTTTAAAAATTAAATGATCTGAAGAAATTTTCTTCTCTAAAATTAATTTACATGTAGTTGAATATATCCTTGAGACATTTTGAGTGAGTAGAAAACTGACTTCAGGGGACAAAATTATTCTCATAGATGCTAAATTGAAGACCTTTGTAAATCTGGAGGTTAAAAAGTATAAGTAGTTGAGAATCAGCATTTGTAGAAAACATCAGATTTTGGATATTTTAATCTTGAATTATATGCAGTATTTTAAGAGTTTGTGAATATGAAATTAAATCTCCTGCTTTGGTGTGCTAATAAATTGCACTGGGTGGACATTATTTTAGTTACTTGTGTTCAGTTGAATACTAAACACTGTTCTAAAGTGCTGTGATGATGCAATCCAGTATAATTTGGCTTATGACCTTATTCTGTTAAGGAAAAGAACCCCACAATACTGTGATAGTAGACTCCTTTTTAACATAGCCTTTCTAAGCAATAAAAAATAAGCAAAAAGAGTACTTAAAATTCTGGACCTGTGTAGATTATATGATAAATCTAAAGTTTTGACCTTTCCATCAGATTCCCTATTCTTCTATACTTTCTCTAGGTCTTTCCCCTCAGTTACCTTTCCTCTTACCAACAGCTTCATTCTTTCTCTCTCCAGTCCTTCCCTTTCAGCTTTAATACATACATAGGTCTTCTCATTGTTGAAAAATACTCTTTATTTGGTCCTACTGGTTCTTCTAGGCATTTTTCCTCCATTTTCAGTGCTAAAATTCTTAATTTCTAGTAATTTTTACCTACTGCTGGCATTATTTTAGACATTTCATCTCATTCCTGATGCCTTTAGTTATCCTTGTCTTCTCATTATGATCTTCAGTTTCCTTATACTCTTCTGGTTTCTTCCTATCTCTCTATATGTATTCTTCTCCCTTGTGGGTGAAGGGTGAGTGGGATGGTGGTGTGAACATGGAAGGTATATATATTGGAGACACACATACATAAAAACTGTTCCTTTGCTTTTTTCCTGTCTTCTGTTTGCTTTTCTCTTTTTCTCTTTTCTTTTTCTGCCAAATTTCTCATGCAAGTTACTTCACTGTATCTTTTTTCTTTCTTTTTTTTTTTTTTGGAGATGGTCTCTCTTTTGCCAGGCTGGAGTGCAGTGGCGCAACCTCGGCTCACTGCAACCTCCACCTCCCGGGTTCAAGTGATTCCCCTGCCGCAGCCTCCCGAGTAGCTGGAACTACAGGCACGCGCCACCATGCCCAGCTAATATTTGTATTTTTAGTAGAGATGGGCTTTCACCGTGTCGGCCAGGATGGTGTCGATCTCTTGACCTTGTGATCCACTCGCTTTGGCCTCCCGAAGTGCTGGGATTACAGGCGTGAGCCACCGTGTCTGGCCAGACTTCACTGTATCTTTTTCTAAACCATCCACTCGGGCCATAACTCCCTGCATTGTCTTCCATTTTCTCCAGTATTGAACCTCTACCTTCAAAGGAAAAATCAGCTTTTAAGTTAAAATTAAATTTAAAGTTACCTTTCTGTGATATTTAACATTAACTGCCTCTCTTAGATATAATGCTTTCTTCTTTTTGATGACTTTTATTATTTTCCTAAGGGTAGGTCTTCGACACTGTAATTTTTCAGAAACCTTACACACATTTATGATATAGACTTAACACATCTATGCTGATGACTTTCATTTTTAATCACCTTCTCCCTTGAATTCTATTTACCTTATTAGGCAGTTCATAGTATATTAAGCTTTTCTGTATACATAAATCTAATAAAGATAGTAGGCTGACCCATCTGAAATTGCAATTTTTGTAGGTCAGAAACTGTTACATATTGACAGCGTCAAACCTAAAAAAGAAACTGTAGCTCTCATTTTAATAATGTTTTCTGTACATGTGCATTTGACGTTGCAGAACCTTTTGATGGAACAAATACAGCCAGAGCAGTGCACGAAAAGCAGAAATTTGACATGATTAAGGATCAATTTTTAAAGGTAAACAATGCATTAGATCAACCCTAGAAGCATTAGTAGACCTGTATGCTTTAAACAGGAGAAAATATATATGTAATAGGACAGAATGGTTTCTCTTTTGTGAATCCATTAATATAGCATGATAGGGAAATTATTTGAATTTAGTTAAACTTTTCCTTCAAAGAGATCTGGCTCTGTTTTTATTCACATTGCTTTCACTTTCATAGAAATAAGCATTTTCTCTTTTCTTTTTGAGACGGAGTTTCACTCTTGTTGCCCAGGCTGGAGTGCAGTGGCACAATCTCAGCTCACTGCATCCTGCACCTCCCAGGTTCAAGGGATTCTCCTGCTCAGCCTCCCAAGTAGCTCAGATTACAGGCGTGTGCCACCACACCTGGCTTTTTTTTTTTTTTTTTTTTTTTTGTAGAGACAGGGTTTCACCATGTTGGTCAGACTGGTCTCAAACTCCTGACCTCAGGTGATTCACCTGCCTCTTCCTCCCAAAGTGCTGATATTACAGGCATGAGCCACCGTGCATGCCCTGCCGAAGTAAGCATTTTCATAGTGAGCTTATTAAATTTCCAAAATGAGTAAAACCTAATGGACTCTTTTCCTTCCTTAGTATATTGGGGAATTTATTGTGGCCTTAGAAGGAAACTGATGTCCATGCTTTTTCTAATGTATACCCCACTGTCACAGGAATTAGAGTGCCGTTTTATTTTTGTTTATATTTTGGAAAGTTAAAATTTATGTGTCTGTGTCTATAGTATGAATTTATTCATCAGTGATGTTGCTAGATGTGGTCTTAATCTTCAAGGACTTCCACAACACATTGTAGAAATGTATTGATTGATATATGTATTGAGACATGGAGGGGAGGGAAAGCTTCATAGAAGAAAAAGATGAGAAAACTGCAAAGATCATTTTAGAGGCATACTTTTTCATTATCTAGACGTATAAGTGGACTTTATTTTAATGATAATTTAAAATACAAGTATTGAGGCATGAATATCACTGGAGCCCGGGAGTTCGAGGCTGCAGTGGGCTATTATCAAGTTGCTGCACTTCAAGCCTAGACAACAGAGTGAGAGACTCCACCTCTTAAAAAAAAAAAAAAAATGAATAAAAATAATGGCCAGGTGCAGTGGTTCACACCTGTAATCCAAACACTTTGTGAGGCCAAGGCAGGAGGATTGCTTGAGGCCAGGAGTTTAAGACCAGCCTGGGCAACGCATAGCAAGACATAGTTCACACACACGACATAGTTAACACACACACACGCACCCCACTCCACCCCACCCCTGGGTGTAGTGTTATGCACCTGTGTCTTAGCTACTGGGGATGCTGAGTAGGGAGAAAGGCCTTGAGCCCATTAGGTTGAGGGTGCAGCAAGCTGTGATTGTGCCACTGCACTCCAGCCTGAGCATGAGTAATAGAGTGATACCCTGTTTCAAATAAATAAATAGATAAAATATAAGTATTCTATTACAAGCTATCCTTCAAATGAGACTTTCTTAATTTGGCAACCAGAATAGAAAATTTGTCCTATAGAAATTCTTTAATTTTAAAACAAATATTCAAGAGAGAATATTTTGGTCTGTCAGATTAAATTGAGAACTCAAAAATAGCAGTGCTACATTGGTGTTCTTATTGATGAGTGAGCTTTCATTTAGGATTGTTTAGTTGTAAAACCAGTACTTTTAGACAATTGAATAATTGACATGAGACTAGAATACAAAGATCTGCAGTCACCAAGTAGTGAGACAGATTTTTAGCTTGTTAACAAGTTTCTTTTCTTCTTATCCATTCAAATCACTGTTATTTTCCAGAGGCATACATAAAGTACCTTATTGTAAATTTACTTTCTCCTTCGTAAATACTATATATATTTTTTTGAGACAGGGTCTTGCTCTCCGTTACCCAGACTCATGCAGCCTCAATCTCCTGGGCTCAATGATCCTCCCACCTCAGCCTCATGAGTGCTGGGACTATAGGCGTGTGCCACCATACCCAGCCAATTTTTGTATTGTTTGTATAGACAGGGTTTCACCATGTTGCCCAGGTTGGCCTTGAGCTCCTGGGCTCAAGTGATCTGCCCACCTCAGCCTCCCAGAATTCTGGAATTATAGGCATGAGACACTGTACCCAGTCCCATAGATATTATTTTTAATGGAAAAAGCTAGTGAAGATGTAAGACAGTCAATCAAATAATTGAATAATCCTCCCTTCTCAAATCCAAAGTTTTTGTTTGCTATTTTTAGATCGAATTAATCTGTGAATAAATATTGTCAGTTGTCTCTTTCAGTACCACCTTTGTGCCCATTTCTTTATTAATGAATTGGAACCATAAAAATACAGAGTTTTTAAATAACATTTTATTTTCTGATGACAGAAATAATACTTATACTGTGTTAAAAACTTGGAAAATAAAAACTCAAAGAACCAGCCTGGGCAATACAATGAGACCTCTCGTCTCTACAAAAAAATTTAAAAATTAGCTGAGCGTGGTGGCACACGCCTGTAATCCCAGCTACTCAGGAGGCCGAGGTGGGGGAATCTCTTGAGCCTGGAAGATGGAAGTTGTAGTGAGCCGAGACTGCACCACTGCACTCCAGCTTGGGTGGCAGAGCGAGACCTTATCTCAAAAAAAGGAAAAACTCAAGGAAAAAACTATTCAAAATTTTACCACCTAGAGAGAACAACTGTTAACATTCTTTTAAACTCTCAGTCTTTTGTTCTGCATAAATTTCAGGTTTTAAGAATGATTTTTCTTTCTCTCCCAGTCATGGCACAGATTGAAAAACAAGAGAGATTTGAACAGTATACTACCTGTAAGAGCTGCTGTCCTGAAAAGATAACTGGCCTCTATTTCTTAATAAATTCTTCCAAGAAATAAAGAACAATAGTTTCATCGTAATACATTATGTTTACCTCCATCATAATTGCTTTTTTCATAGTTCTTGTTTTCATTTTTTATTTTTAAAAAGACATATAAAGATTGCATATTTTATTATGACATTTCCTAATAAAACCCTTTGATTTAAAAATAAAAATGTATTTTTGAAAATGTTTACATTGATGATTAGTAATATTATGGCATGCGTTTTCAGGTGATCAGATAAAATATATTTTGCGAAATTACCTGAACAAATAAAAAGTTTTTGATACAACTTCAATTAATTGTAACACATGCTAATCCTGAAGAGATGTGTGGAATTTTGGAAGGGGTCTAATTCATACATGCTTAAAGTCTAACCTACATTAGATAGTTTGTTGTCAAAGTCTGTTCTAGTAAAGTGAAGATTCAAGTCAGTTGTTCAGTTACTTGAAGCAAAACGAAATCATTTCAGTCAAATCACTGCAGAGTCATGAAATACTGAACAATTGCCTTAAGTCTTTGCTTTGCTTGACTCACTGGGATAGACTGAGGCTTTGGGTGTTGTCTGTATTAGCATTTCATTAGTACTTCACATGCTTTTGATGTACTCTTGAGATTGCTTTAAATTTTGTATTGAAACAACAATACATTTTGCACTGTAGTAATAGGAGCACTAACTCTTAAAACAGTTAGTGAATTGTTTTAAAGAATCAGTTCAGTGTAGACATTTTGAAAAGATTGTTTCCTGTGCTTTATGATATCTTAGTACAACGTGCACTTCTGCTTTACTTGCCGTTTTCCTGCTCTATTTTCTCTGTGACATGAAGCAACAGAAACGGAGAGATCAAAGTTAAGATTATATCCTGTTTGTAGTATCAGATATTTTTCTGTGTACAATTATAGGACTGTAATCTAAACTGGAATTTTTAGACAGTAAGCCACTACAAAATGTTTTAGAGATGACACAATAAAATTATTATAAATAAAAGCTCAATATTTGTAAAAAATCTCTTTTTTAGTATTTCTTTTTTTACATGAAAGAAGTAGTGGTGGCTGCTAAACAAAAAAAGCTACAGTGTTTATTAAGGTTGTTTTTGATTTATGTAAATATTTGTAAATTGGTCAGTGCCTGTAAATTTAAATATAAAAAGTAATCTTGAAAACAGTTTTAACTTTTTCAAAAGGACTATGTCCAACATTTTTTAGACCTGCTGTAGTACAGTTTGTACCTCTAACGTATTTTTTTTTTCACAGACCAAATGCTAAAACTTTTGCTTTTCTTTGACTTGTAAAAGGTGCACATTTTCATTTTCTTTAAGTTCAAATTTTTGTACGTCAAATGCAATAAAATTTATATATGGACATTGTCGAGGTGTTTTTTTTTTCTGTGAAAGTCTTTGCTTTTGAGATGAGACTGAGGCTGTAGTTATCATCTAGAACTGAACTAAATCTACTTATTAGCCAGCTAACCACATCAATATCTTATGTCTCTGGCATTATGAGGAATGAAAGTTTACACATAGTGTTTTGGATTCCTGATGTGTAACACTTTTTATGCATTTGAGCTTTTCATATTTTGGCGGGGGGGAATTTTTCCTAAAATTTACATTGCGCATCTCTTAATGAGAACGTACTGAGTAGAGTTAATATTCTAGTGATGACTGGGTAATCATTATAAGCATTAGTCTTAGTACTATTCATTAATACTGTGTAACTTTCAGGGATGGGTAAGTATGTACCCTCTGCCTCTACAGTATTATGACATTTCCTAATAAAACCCCAGAATTTACCATGTTGTGGACTCCCTCACTGTCACTGTTTTCTCAGTTTTCAATGGCCCCACCCTTACTGCTGCTGCTTTTCACTTGTTTTACTATGAAAAACAGATCAAGAAGTCACTAAACCTAGACTCAATTCTAAATCAGTAGACTGAGGCCTAAAATTATGCACATGTGACTGGCCAAATATGTCAGATAAGTGAACTGTTAATATATGAGAGAATTTTCTAGACTTTTAAGTTATTAATCTCAATTATTTGTTTGATGAGTACTAAATTATTTTCTGTTTGTGTTGATCTGTCCATTCCTGTACGTAGTTGTCCCTCAGTATATTGAGGGATTGGTTCCAGGCCACCCCCATCCTCTTCAGATACCAAAATCCACAGATGCTCAAGTCCCTTATAAAAAATGATGTAATTTGCATATATCCTACACACATTGTCCTGTATACTTTAAATCATCTCTAAATTACCTGATACCTAATACAATGTAAATGCTATGTAAATAGTTGTTATACTGTATTGTTTAGGGAATAATAATGACAAGAAAAAAAAGTCTATGCCTGTTTAGTACAGATGCAACCATTCTTCCTCCCTCTCCTACCCCCCACCCCAAATATTTTTCATCCTTGGTTGAATTCACAAATCCTATATGGATACGGAGGGCTGACTGTATTTGCATATGTTGTTAAAGTGGTGTTTAAAATGTGCAATCTGTACTACAATTCTAAATTTTGGATTGATTTGAACTAGGATCTTTGCAAATAAATCTCATAGACATTAATGTTTGTAAGAAATTTTTAATTAAATGATGGAAGGAACATAGAATGGCTACCTGTGGTTTTGATTAGTGTGTAACAGATTCCCACAGCTGCGATTGAATTCCTTTTGTCCTGGATGAGCATGGTCATTTGGGATTACTGATAGTAAAGTCTAGCTGGTGTTAAGAGAATAAATATTGCTGATGCTAAATCTGGTTTAGTGAACTGTGGGTCTTGACTCTGCTGTTTTCCCTCCTTATGTCCCACTGGCTGATGTATCTGTCCTGTAATTCAAAGATTTACAGTTCATTAGCTACAGACATATGCATAGCAACTAGTGTAACTGGTGAATAATCGCCAGCTTACAGTCACATTTAACAACTCTGTGACTTGCTATAATTAAAAATAAATGTTAACTTCTAGCCATCAAATCATTCTCATAAAATGGGTATCTTTATTGTAAAGATACCTCAATTTGTACAGTCAGCAGGTCTGGTTCTGTTCTCTTCAGGGAGCATCCATTATGTGTACCTGCTGTGTGCTAGCTACTTTGCTAGTGTGTAGGCTTGTAAGGGATGGGAATGGTGGGACAAAGATGAGTAGTAAACTTACAAAGTCTGCTGGGGAAGGAGATACAAACATAATCTGTATAGGATTATGTGGGAACCTGGAAGAGAGGTACAGAGTTTAACTTTGGGATTTCAGAGAAAGGTGGTATCTTGAATGATGGGTATCCTGGTAAAAATGGGATGAAACTTTGAGGCAGAAGGAATTGTGTAAATAAAGACACAGTGGAGTGACTTGACAATGTTGGGAACTCCTGACTTCTAAAGAGAGCTGACCAGCTGGGCGCGGGGGCTCACACTTGTAATTCCAGCACTTTGGGAGGCTGAGGTTGGCGGATCACCTGAGGTCAGGAGTTCGAGACTAGGCTAGCCAACATGGTAAAACCCCGTCTCTACTAAAAATACAAAAATTAGCCAGGCATGGTGGTGGGTTCCTGTTATCCCACCTACTGGGAGGCTGAGGCAGGAGAATCGCTTGAACCCAGGAGGTGGAAGTTGCACCGAGCCGAGATCGCGCCATCGCACTCCAGCCTGGGAGACAAGAGCAAGATTGCGTCTCAAAAAATAAAAAAATAAAAATAAAAAACAGTGGACAGGTAAAACATGGCCAGTTAGACAACCGTACCTTTGTGAGGATGTTGGGGTTCAGGCTTTGAGCAGTGGGAAGCCATTGAGGGGTTTTAACCACAACTTGATCCGGGGAAAGGTTTGGGGCCTTTGGGCCAGTTTCAGACAAAACTTAGCTTTTGCTAACGTGGGGGAAATTGCTCCTCCTCAAGGTTTAAGATGAGTGGAGATAAAGTTTCCTGGCTCAATAACGGGGACCACTGGGCAAGAAAATATACAGTATATTGACTTGCGATATAAAGGGAGCCGGGACGAAACAATGGTTCAAAACTGGGCTTTTGAGCAGGGCAGCTTTGTTTCTCATTGGGTCACTTTACTGGCAATGAGAGCCTGAGCTGCTGGAGCTCTTCGGAGCCTCAGTTTCCTCATCTGGGAAACCAGCACTACAGTAAAACCTTCTACAGGTACCACCGCAGAATCGAGGTAATGAAAGCGAGACCCTCAGCAGAGTGCCTGGTAGTTAAGTGCCCCGCTCAGGATGTAGTTATTGTTTGGGATAAAGGGTCCAAAAAGTAGTTCAAAACCGAAAAGACTCACTCTGGAGGAAATAGAGACGGGGCTAGGTTGTCTTTCCTCCTTTGAACCCCCTGGTGCAGCCGGAGCCCGCGCCCCTTAAAATGATCTCCAGTTGTCCGAAAGGCCCTCCAGGGATCTGGCGAAACGGGGGCGGGGGAGGGCTCGGGGAAGAAGAGAAGCTGAGCCCGGGCCCCAGAAGCTTGGTGGCGAAACTTTGACGCCTTCTATTTAAAGTCGCGGGGCTCGCCCGCCCCCGGCGCCTGGAACCCGAGCCGCCCCCGCAGGGGCAGGGCTGGGAGGGCAGGGGCCAGAGCAGTCGGAGGGAGAACACCAGGCGCGGCGCGGGCGGCTCCGGCTCCGACTCCGGCCCCGGCCCGGGAGAGGCGATGGCGAGCCGCGATAGCAACCACGCTGGCGAGAGCTTTCTCGGCTCCGACGGGGACGAGGAGGCGACCCGGGAGCTGGAGACAGAGGAGGAGTCGGAGGGCGAGGAGGACGAGACGGCGGCGGAGTCGGAGGAGGAGCCGGACGCCAGGTAGCGCGAGCCTCTCTCCTCGGCCCAGGGCCTGCAGGGCAGCTAGCAGCTCCCTTGCTTGTTTGCTTTAAGTTTTTAAGCTCTGGGGTTCGTTTCCGTCGAGCTAGGAACTTACTCTCTGGGTGCACTGCCGTTTAAAAGAACTTGAAGGTGAAGGTGCTCGCTGTCAGCTGGAGTGACAGGCCCGCCTGCAGCAGAGTTCATTACCCCCGCCCCCAGCTCCTTGTGACTCGCTGCTCTTGTTTATTCCTGAAGATTTACTTAGGTCCTGCCTAACTGCCGAAATGTGCTGGAACGCGTACATCTGGCCCAAGGCACAGGAACAATCGCTAAATCCTGAGCTAGAGAAGGGGGTGGGGTGGAGGCGGTGAAGGCGCACTGGTACCTTCAGATGAATGGCGGTCTCCCCAGCGGCCTAGCACTGGACTAGGCTGCAATAAGGTGACCTTATTTTCATACAAAGGCCCATAAATTCTTTGGGGGAAAAGAAGCATGAGTTTCAGTAATCCCTGTTCTTCAAGTCCTGCTTCTTTTTTCCTGGTCCCAAGTATCAGTTTCCGTGAATGTGATGAAGTAATACTATGTAAAAAAGATGCGCCTCCCACCCTTCGATCTCCCACCCTCCGTCCCTTTCTTTAAGAAGGCCCTAAAATGAGAATAATAGAGATCATCTAATCTCTATTTGGATTTGCTTCTACCTTCATTGGTTCTCCTTGAGTATGTGTTTTGGGTTTTTTCCCTGACTGTGCGTCAGTCAGTGATGTCTCTTCTTCAGTCTGTTGGTAACAGTGGAAAGGTTTTGAAGGTGGCAGGTGGGTGTGTACCATCTCAGAACGCCCAGCTTACCTAATCAAAGCCAGCAAAGCCGATGTTGAAGAAGTAGCCCATAGAGTGGCACTGGGGAGGATGGACGGTCAGGCAAGAAGTCCTGAATGCATGTCACATGTTTACCAAGCAACTACCAAGTGGGAAGCAAGCACAGTCCCTGGCCTCAAGGACTTTGTGGAAAAAGTTCCCCTAACTTTTTCCCCTATGGGGAAACGTTTCCCTAACATGGGGAGTGTGAGGCTATATAGAGGTGGAGGGAAGGACGGTGGGTACTGTGCAAGGGCAGAAGAGGGAGTGTTGGCCTGGAGCTGCCTTGAATTAGTGGGCAGGGACTACAAACAGGAAGAGCAGAGGAGAAGGCACCTGTAGGGAGTGGATCAGGGAGCAGAGGACCCGTGATCCCTTGGCAGTGTTGAGAAGGGGAAGTCTGTCAACCCCAGCTTTTATAACCTTTCCCTTACTGTTGTCTGGGATCCTCATATCGGTGCCCAACCACATTTACAACCAAGAGAATCTGAAAACTCATTTACACTAAAATGTGAGCAGCTGACAATTCAGCACTTTGGGGTTGTATTGCCATTTGACAAAGGTCAAGGCCTTCAGAAAAGGATGTGATTTGTCTGCAGTAAACTTCAGCCTGCTCTGACTACAGACAGTAAGGTGGACACCAGGTAAAGAGGTCAGAATAAATAGAGCGGAGGGAAACATGAGGGAATGTGGAAAATGGAGGCCTGGAAAAAGCATCCAATTTATT